GATTTGTTAAAGCGATTCAATATGTTGGATGCAAATCCTGTAAGCACACCAATGGAATGTAATGTTAGGTTAGATCTGAGCAATAAAGAGAAGGAAAACCAATCAAAGCCCGATGTTCCATATCAATCCTTAATTGGCTCATTAATGTATTTGGCTGTAAATACTAGACCTGATATTGCTTATGCTATTTCGGGAAACGGAAGCCTGGCGAGCTCTGGCCCTAATCCGGGGTCGAACCCTTTTACGCTTCATTAGGCTTCAGTTCGCACACCAACTAGCTTTCCCCCCAAGAATACCTCTCTCCCCAAAAAGTACCTGACCCGTGGGTAAGAGGAGAGGATGACTTTGGTGCCCCGGTGGGGGGAGGGGTGCAAAGGGCAATGGCTTTGGGGAGGAAACACTTCCGTTACTGAGAGGGCAACTGATGGGATAGTGACCTTCCTAGAATTGAATTCTTGTTGAGATATTAAGTTAAACAAAATGTATTGCAGCCAATTCTTTGAATCACTAGAGTAATAGCATAAAGACGATTCAGGAAATGAGCTAGCTATTTCCGTCTTAAATTAAACTTAAGCATGAGTAATATATGGACGGCTCAGGAAATTGCCAAATAGTTTCTAATACATAGTTGTTTCTAGCCTTTATATTTTCTACTCCCTTAGTGCACTGTTTTATTTTACAATAAAAACCAAAAACTTTGCTGTGTTTTTTTGGGAATTTTATTGTCACTTCATTATTGTTGTATATTTGTTATTGTGAATATCGTTTTATATAATTTATCATCTATTTAGTCAATCAAATTCATAAGAACAATAAATAGTTTTATATACCTTGTTGAGTTCACAATAAAAGTATCTTTAATTTTGACCGTATTTAAATAATGATGATTAAATTTAAAACAATAACGTATGCCTAGTAACTAGTGTTGCATATACAACATTTGGTTGTGAATTTTCTTGTGCTTTGCCTTGAAACAAAAATTATAGTTATATATGAGCGGTCTCTGGAAGAACACGCAAGTTTGGATGAATAGTTTAATGATGCCTATTGATTTGTTTCTATTGTTTCAGTACAAATTGATCAGTTTGTTAAGCGAATTTTCTATTCAAAGTTATAGGCTATTAGCTATTACTGGAGATCTCGTTGTAAGACTCCCAGGACCGATTTATTTTTTCGTTTTGAAGGGTCATAACAGCCAAAAACACCACCCGTCCACATTTTTAGATATATGTCCGTCAGCACGATAACTCAAGCAAATATAATCTGATGTTGATGAAATGTGGTATAAACGTGTAAACTTTCGTTAAATAATAAAATAGGCATTTCCCATTTTTGACCCTAAAACATACAGTTTTTCTATTTCTTTCTAAACCATTTTGTAGGGCTTATAAAAAAAAATCATTTAGTACCACAAAGCGTTGGTTGTACGCCTAACGGGGAGATAAAATTCAGTAGAAATGGTAAAGTAAATATTACTCTTTGTTATTTTTATTTTTTTAATCAACTGTTGTAGTTTTCTTGTTTATTGACGGATACTAATCGGGGAAATTGGTTTATTTCATACCAAGCTATCGACATTTTAACCAGCAAACACACCTCTTTACTATCACTTTAGCAGCAAACTTAAGTAATCATTAAATCACTATCATTAGACAGTTTTAAGGGAATATTTTTGTGTAAATCTTCCTAGGTAAGCGAAAATTAGCTTAGTCTGCAGGTTTACTGCGGCAGGAGTAGGTTATTTTATTATAAGATTGAATTTGTCTGTTGAAATGACATATTATGGAAGTACGTTGTTCATACAATTAAAATTTTTATAGTATTACATTTCATATCATTCGTTAGGTAGTGTTAATTTCCCCATAATGTGTAATTTTAATATTTAATTCCCTTATTAAATGTTCCCTACACTTAATTTGTCCTCACATACTTGTAATTTGTAAATAAACCTAATGTTGACAAATATTCTTTTCAAGCCAGCACAATACCAACTCCCAAATATAAGAGCCCCCATAATTATTTTAAGAACCCCTGAACATCTAAGTAATAATCCTACAGTATATTAATTACTAGCAGAGTACCCGTCCTTCTTACGGGGCTGGCGTATAAGTATGAAATGCTTATTGCAGTTATACTCGTAAATAATATACTACAGTATTTCGTCAATTCGGTAAATTCCAAATAGGTAGGCCTAAATATAATAACAGTTAAAGCAAAGTTGGAGAGGTTAAATTATAATTTATTTTTTACATTTTAAATTGACAAGTTTGCTTTAATATTACGGTTTAAACTTCCGCGAGGGCCACGTACATTTCCTAATCATGTACTTTTCACTGCTTACGCTTCTTCGAAACTGACCAAAGTATACATTTCATTATCTAAATCATTGTATAACATCATAGTAGCCACTAGTAATCTCTCCCGTGAACTCATTTTACGCACCAACCATGTGTATTGTACGCAGTCTAGGAAACCACTCACGGCAGCTGCGTTTTGGGACCTGGACAAAAGCCGCAGCGCATCTATTACGCGTCTAGGAAACCACAGCCTTACGACTACGATCAGAAGGTGCAGTGTTTCCCATTTCGTTCGATGTTTGAATTTAACTTGACCTAAAAAAAATATTTGAAAGACTAACTATTTATATGATTTATAGGGAAAATATAATGTGTAACACGAGTGCAAACTACCTCTGCCGCACTCGATAAACTTTCAACACTCGCCCACGGAACACTCGCGTAAACATTTCTCTCGTGTGCAGCAGTGCGCCACTTCGCCCACTAGTTACACAAATAGGAATAATAATAAGCCTATAAAATGATCTATCATCATGCGAAATTTCAAACCCAATTCGAGTCATTTCTTGATTGAGTCCCAAACAAATAACGAACACACACACTTACAGCTTTATAATATTAGTACGGTATATATGTTTTGTATAGATGTTTCGATTGCCAATGGACTAATGCTGCCCAGGTTCTTTAATAAAGTCCTATAACAAGTACAGTTGGATTTTTTAGGTGGAATATCTTTGAAGATGAACCTATTTGGCAGTAGTGTGATCATGTGTTCAGACCTGTCAAATTTTGAGGTTAAATAAAAACAAACAAACTGACACAATAATTCTTGGAATTGACAATAGTTAAATAATATTATTATAAATATATTATACTTTAAACTTACTCTAGCCTACTTTCATATAACTACTTGGCAATATATAGAATATTTACTGTGAAATGGAGACGTGATTCCTAATTCCAAATCAGCTAATGAATAGTTGATACTTATAATTATTTCCTCCAAATTATAGGTGATGGTTGCTTTGATAATAGTTAATTATACGAGTTAGTATTAAATTTTGAATCTTCTTGCATAAGTTAATTAATTTCGATCATTATATTAATAGAATAATATGGATGCTGTGACTGGGATACACATAAAATAACCGTTTGGACATACAGTAATGATGATTTACGTCTAGTTTTGAAATATCTTAACATCTAAACATAGACTCGCCTTTTGGGTTTCATGTTAGAGATCAGAATTAAATACTCTTGAGATGACGAGATGAACCTTTATAGACTCACGTTTTGATCCATTTAAATTATAATTAACAGCTAATTGTATTGCTGATAATTCATTAATGCAATCACTAATCAAATAAGTTCACCTCATACAAACTGGATAACATTATACAATAGGCCAAGGAAGCAAGATTCGAGTTTGGTTTATAAAATGCAGTAGCCTAAAAACAGATTTTTTTCTTATAAATTAAACAATGAAATATACTAAATAATTTCATTTGATCTTAAATGGCAATTCTTTCGTAAGTAATACAAACCGGCCTCTAAATGCTTAATTATTAATTGCCAACATGCCAGTTTGTTTGTTTTGATTTAACCTCAAAATTTGACACATATAAACACATGATCGCACTACAGCTAAATAGGTTCATCTTCAAAGATATTCCACCACACCTTAACTGCTTCTAGCTAAAAAATCCAACTGTAGGTAAGAATATTTTTGTATATATACGCCTCATAGGCTACACATATACTTTTAAAATTAAATAACAAAAAAATTTTCTATAGTTTTAGCAACTGCCAAACGCCAATCAATAGATACTTTCTTGGAAGCTCTGTTTTCTGTTTAGAAACTACTTTGCATCTACTTGTAGTCCATACAACATCCGGCCACGCTCTCATGTTGTTCTCCTCTCGCCACAGCTCACATTCACCCTCTCTCTCCTTCTCCCACCCCTCTTTACTCGACCACCCCTTTCTCCCAGCGAAATACCCGGTATAGTACTGTTGGGTAGAATAGGCTTATGTCAGGTAGTCTTCTCCACTCGCCTCGACACTCTAATGACCCCTTAATTTACGAGTTCGATAAGCCGGGTCGCCAGCGCTCCTACACTCAGTCAAAACGCATCAGCTGCACAGGCTAGAACTTAATGTTTAGTGAGAGTATTAATAAACCAGCTGCAGCTGTTTTGTTGTAACTGAATGTGTTTTACAAATCCAGTTACTCCGGAACTTATCTTTAAAAATTTACAAAAAGGCTCAGCTGTTTGTGCGGAACTACATTCAAATCGTTCCACCGAGCTGCAGCTGAAAAAGTAGTTCCAGTGGAACTGGAACTGGATTGTGGTTCCGCTTGGAACGGTGGAACGAGTTCCACTCTCGGAACGGTGGATAAATGTAGTTCCAGCTGCAGCGACACATCTCTAGAATGTAATGATGTAATGTTTATGTATTGTTGACTGGTGTGGTGTCTCAAATATAATCCGTTTAAATCTGAAAGTGTTTTAATGTTCAACCACAGTTCACACGACTAAAACTGCAAGTGTCCTGCTGTACAACCAGGAAGTGGGATTGCACCAGTAGATTTATAAGTTAAAATTTGAAGCTATGACCCTGTTTTAGATAACACAAATAAATCAAATCCCCAATGTAAATTCCCAGTCCTTAAAAAAAACTGACAAAACTGTCTATTTGTAGCCTGGTGGTCGTGTCTGTGATGAACCTCCGCTATTTGTGGTTGTGTTTGTTGACTGCCGTTGCCATCGCCAGTATTTCCGTCGTCTTTTACTGGCCTAGGCTGAGACTCCCCGACTCTGCAGACTTTCAACTCTTTGCCGCCAGCCACCCTTTTGAACAATACGACTACATCTACAAGAACAAGTTTTGGTTCGAAAAACCTCAAAAGGTAAGTATTGTAATATTTGTTTCTAATGACAAAAATTGAAGTGAGGCTTCCACATACACAGTCAATGAGTCTAGTTGTCGTCAAGGAACTGTATCATTAACATGTGTTCTGATCTGATGCTCTGCTTGGGGCAGTAACAGAGCCTTTCTACCGTTTCGGTTGTTTATCTTACTTTTTAACACATCCCAAAACGATATTTTTCTCCTATGTTCAGTAAATAATAAACTATTTTTTTCTCTATCAAACAATTCAAATAAAATTTACCATGCAAACAATACTTATATCTTATATGCAACAAAGAAGAATATGTATGAGGTACCTCAGGGTTCCTGATTAGGGCTCGTACTTTTCATTTACTACGTAGGCCTATACAATTTGATAGCTGCTAATAAAATGTATTTACTAAAAACTGTAGCACTGTCCTGTTGTATAAATATTTTCTAAGATACTAATTGTAAGTAAATCTTAATTTTTCTTATTGATACTGACTTTGATAACGCGTTGGTTGATTTTTGGGTGGGATAGAAGGATTAAAGTTTGGTCCACTGAATAATGAATACGTCTTTTTTAAATAATTCTGACTCATTGTTATGCTCCAGGTTGAAACTGGGGAGAACAACGCTCTAATGCCTCTGAGGTTTGTGTGGGGAGTTGTCCCCGAGGACAACGGGGATCATCTGGACCCAGCATCCCGCGGGACTCTTCAGATAGATTTCACCTTTGACATGGCTGCCCCGGACTCCCAGGCGTTTCTTATGAAATTCTGCCACAACCTGAGGTTAGTGAAACCAACCGTCTACGGTGTTTCCTATGTTTCCATGACAAAATATGCAATTCAGCTGTAATAGAATCAATCATTTACTTTTCATCTTGAATAGAATGTGTAAAATACTATGGCGAAACTCACAGGATAGAAGCCAGCGTGTATTCCCATTCTCCCTACTTCTTCCTCCGAGTCCTAGCTCTGGCTATTGAGGTCAAATCATTGCTTTGTAATAGGGAGAGAAAGCATAAATGAGAGATAAATTGAGCACCTGGGTTGCTCACTCCAGTTAAACAAACGGTTGGGTGGATTGCTGAACTATATGACCTTATAGTTTCAGACCAATAACTCTCAGACTTCACCAAAGAGGGTCAGGCTCAACAACATATCCACATTATTTGGGGCTCTTGTACCGCATTTCTTTAGAAGCATTTGTGATTATTGACATACTAAATGCCACTGGTTTAGGACACTATAAACAAATTAAATTCAAGGGCCAACCATTGTAAAGAAGTTATTTACAAATTTTAATTATATAATGTTAGTAGGGTAAAATAAAATGTATCTCAAACTTACCACTGTCCAAAAAGTCAATAAGTCTCTCGATAATAATTTGGAGTAGTTTTGCTATGTCTACATTTCAATAACTATTTGCAATTTGTATTACTAACAAAATGATCTAAAACCATAGTATCTGTCTATTTCTTCTTTTTTACAAACCCATGAAATATTTCAGGGTGCAGCCGTTTTTCCAAGCTACGCCGGGGCTGTTTCTACCAAACTGTTTTATCGAGACCTTTGTTGACTGGATGAACCAGCGTTGCCATGACCCTGTGGACCCAAAGAAAAGCAGAGTTCCGTGCTGCGAGTCGGCCAAGTTCCCGTTTGAGAGGAAGGTGTTCAACCAATGCCTCCCGCAAGCGATTCACTCCCTCCTGCGAACACCCCAGAACTTGGTCGTTCCGGGGGTGGCAGGGCCGAGGTTTCAGCGAACCGGTTCCAAGAAGTCGCCCAGAGTAAGGGCTGTTGTGATAGAATACGACAGCAACCTGGTGCATTCGACTTCGTACTCGGAAATGGATTTGTTCTTTAAAGAGGTATATAATATTTTTCTATTGTTATACGATTATACTCGTATATTGAAGATATCTTACCGGTATGCAATGTTTCCAACCAACCATTGAATTACGAGTAGTTAGCACTTAAATACATATCCCTGAATATGCAGAGGGTGAATCACAAAAGATGTCCACTGTACCTCTAGTGTTTGTCTGGGAATACAAACTTGATGTCTCAGTTTTGTTCCTTATGGTTAGTCCATTTTATCTCCTGATTGTAAGGGTTGAATATGCTTTTGTCAAAAATATTTTTAGCTATATTATCATTAATTTTATCACAGGTGGAGGCATGGAGCCAGAAAGAAATGGCCAAGGCTCCTCCGGGAATGAGAAATGGGTTTTTCGTCAGTCAGCTAGCATTTTACGATTTACAACACACATTAGCCAGAGACACAGGTGAGATTGCTAATAGTTTCTGTTCTGCGATGGTCAAGTATAGGAATTTTATGTTTAAGTTCAAAGTCCCACATTTTTAATCCTAGTACAGTAGAACTCCTATCTGGGTCACTTGAGACCAAACTGTAAAATAAAAAATCTGAATAGTTGGATTTTCAAGAAAAATTATACAAGACAGTGACACTTTTTTAGGGAGGGGGTAAAAATGCTTTTACGCACACAGGTGGCCAGCCTGTTGTGTTAGACTACAAAACTTATCAGACTCCTCACCAAAAAAACCCCTCTACTCTGTTGGACACAGACCTGGAATTATTTGTAGCACCGTTTCTGGCGTTCAATTCCTTTATGACCTAGACTGCATTAAAACACATTAAAATATGTTACGGATTACTGCACAAACTTAAAAAATCTGCAAAAAAATCTTTCAGATATTCTCCCGCAGTCACATAAATATAACAAGACTTTCCCCGGGAACCTCTTAAATATTTTAATCCCATTTGATAAGCCAAATTTCATTAAAAATTCCCAAATGTTTAGCTTTAGACTTTGCCCTTTTTTGAATGCATAAGATCACTTTTTGTAAAGTACCTGACCCAACCTAACGATTTCAGTTCTCGCCATCGCCGTGTCTCTCGCAGTCTCCCTGGTGGTTCTGTTGATTGTCACATTGAATGTTCTCGTCAGTCTGTTTGCCATCCTCTCCATCACTTGTATCATATTTGTCACCGTTGCCGTCCTCGTTCTCATCGGATGGAAACTAAATGTGCTTGAGTCTGTGGCGATATCCGTCGCGATTGGATTGGCTGTCGATTTCAGCCTTCACTACGCCGTTACGTACAGGTGAGATTCGTTTTATCAAGATTTGTATGATTAAGCTGTTCCTTTAGTCAGCTTTATAGGACATAGAATCTAGGCCCATAGTTTTTTCAAAGTTTAAAAACTAGGCTTCGATTTTGTTAGTCTTGCTAACTAAAGCAAAAACCCTGAATGGTGTTGGTTTTATTTGCAACCAACCTTAAACGCAAAAGTACCTAGCTAACGACAAAAATATTATAATTCATAGTTTTAGTAATGAATGATAATCAGTATATAATTTTATAATATTGAATGGACATTATGCCAACCCAGCAGACGGTCGTATGACCGTTGTTGTATGTGCACTATGTATCAAACTATTGTATCCTTTTATGTACTGTTCATAATATGTATTAAATAAAGCACTTTTCTATTCTATTCTATTCTATAATCAGTTGATTATTCTATTCATATTATAATCAAGGAATAGTTCCAATAACTCACACTGTCTTACTGTTTATATGATTATGATTTCTTCCATCAATAAACATAATTAAGAATTTATCTATGCATTCAAAATTTAATTGAATCTTTAAAGTAGAGATATTAGATTGTTCGTGATTAAGGTTAGAAACTGACCTTTGCCATAAAATGCTGTCCTAATACAACCGACCACTTTCTGGATCCCTATCTTGCCAAAGCCAGTGACCAATCTAATCGTTTTCCTACTCAAAACCAGAAATAAGCCATTGTCTCTACACTACACATGTACGAGTGTTGGATGGTTCAAACCACTAAGGTTACTCTGTTTTCTCTGTAGATCTTGCAAAGACAAGGACAGCAGATCACAGTGTGTAATCTTCTCCCTACAGCGCATGTCAGGTAATTGTCCGTGTATTGTCAGTTTTACAATGTTTATTTTGATCAATCTCTTTGGTTAATGTTTATAAATCCTCAGGCTACTGAAACTATTAGTAGATAGATAGTAGAGTAGATCATTCCCATGTACAGTAGAACTCCAATTATCCGAACTCCAATTAACCGAAACTCCGGTTATCCGAATCGCTTACTTCAACAATTTTAAAAACGTAAAGCTACAGTAATAAGTTTTGCAAAATATCAAAGAATTGTTGTTAAACACATTTAGCCAGTGTGTAATTTTGGACTTTGATGGAACACTATTAACTTAATAACATGTATAAAACACTTGTACTATGAGCATTGTAAACTGTAAACATGTTCTGATTTCATTTATTATTAATTAAGTTCATTTAGTACGGTACCGAAAATGAGGATTTTTCTTAAAACTTCCCGGAAGTCCCGTTAAAACTCCGATTATCTGAATATTTGATTATCCGAATGGGGTCTGACCCTGACCCCTATTGATTCGGATAATCGGAGTTCTACTGTAACAGTAATCATTTAGCCAACTCTGCCCAGGCGATAGTAACCTAAAAAAAAAAATAAAAAATAACCCTTAAGCAAAACTGGTTCCAGATACAGTATACTCACGACATGTTTGGGACTTTGGTTGTGCCAAACTATTCAAAATGTCAGATTAGTACTGATTGTTTTTCTAAAAACAGCTGTTATTGGCAAACGAGCAGAAATTAATCATCAGCTGGTGGGCCGTTATTGTGTGTTTTATGGTGCTTTGTCTTATCTCATAAGTGTTTTGAAATATTAAAAAAATTATGAAGGTAAATCAAACAACCCTGAACTCCTTCGAGTGTTTGCTCCCAAATCTGCCAAAGGCTCTAAAATTGTTTAAAACAGCGTACACAAATTTTTGGAAAGTGCCGGACCATCGGTTGCCAGATTAGAGGGCTTTTGTTGTATTGGTAACCATTTAGGAAAACTTTTACCTGGTTAAATTTTTTATAACACAAATTCCGTTATCATGCAATATGCTTATTACCCATATTTCACATAACAACGTATTTACTTGACTACTAACTGAGAGCTCTGTTGTCCACAGGCCCCACGTTGATGGCTGCCCTAACCACGGCCGCTGCAGGTGCCTTTATGATCCCGTCGTCTGTACTAGCCTACATACAGATTGGAGTGTTCCTAGTGCTGGTGATGGTGGTCAGCTGGGGCTATTCCACATTCTTCCTCATGTGCCTCCTCGCGCTGGCCGGACCACAGAGCAACTTCGGTCAGCTGCATTATCCCAAGTGAGTTTCTTTTTTAATTGGTGAAATTTTGGAAAATCCAAATAAATGATATCTAAATTTGTTTTTATGATAACATAGCCTCATTCTGCTTTCGAAAAACTTGTATCACAAAAATTACCTTAACCTAAATTGATTTTGGTAATTGTTTTAGATAGTTTTTCCAACATTATTATATACGCATTACAGTACTACGTAAGTCTTTTTAACACTTTTATTTGTTTTCAGGCTGAACCCATTCCAAAATTATGGGAATAATCCTTTTTTTTTAATGCCTACACATAACTAATAGTCTCTTCTGTATCTCATTTGTATCTCTTTCTAAAACCACACTTTTCTTTTTCATTGTATATATAATTTGTAATACAATCCAATGTTGTCTTAATGCAACCAGCAATGTTTGTTGCAGTATGCGAGGGTTGTGCAAGAAGCGGTCAGATGGCAGCCGCCCGGACAGTGACAAGACTGTTTACATTAATGTGTTGTCGGAAGCCTCGCTGTCAACGTCGTCCACCATGTGCGCTCTGCATTTATCCACCAATGAGACCCACGAGCTTGATGCACTCACGAGGCACAGTTGCAGGTATTATGCTTGTCTCTCTAGACTATGTCTTTTATTTCAAGAACCACAGTTTAAAAATAATGTGGCAATTGCTGAAGCAGGAGGGTGCCAAATTAGAAATTACAGAAAATAATACTGAAACTAATTTGCAAGTCAGGACATGTCACTTAGATTAGTGATGGGCGGATCCAAGAAAATGTTGGTACTGGATCCGGATTCGGATCTTAAAAAATTTACAGTTAGGCCCTACACGATGTCATAAGGGTGGGTTAAAAAAACTTAATATTAACAGAATGCGAATTTAAATCATACTGTTTTAAATTAAATTGTTAATGTTTAAAGGTTAATATATGTTATATATGGAATAATCCCCAGTTGAGCCCAAAATCCATCATTTTTGGGGGAGACTAAACATTTTCAAAATCATAAATTGAAATATTGTGCTAAGTTTGGACAACCACCAAAAGGGTACAGTATCTGTGTATATTTTACTATCCTTCAATCTTGAGTATGATATATCGTGGTTTTTGCATGCAGCATCCAATTTTTTTATGTCTGGACCACTTCTTGCTAATCTTTTCCTTAAATTCGTTCCAGGTCCACAGTACTGATAGCCGGGTATGTGAAGTTCTACAGGTAAAATACCCTGCGTCTGTGTACAAGAAGACTATATGTGTCCTAACTGTGTTCTAACTTATAAAATGCTAAATGGGGTGTCTTGACTTTTTATATACCCTGTATGGACACAGATAATCTTCTTGTACACAGACACAGGGTATTTTACCTCTAGAACTTCACATACCCGGCTATCAGTACTGTGGACCTGGAACAAACTTAAGGAAGAGATTAGCAAGAGGTGATCCAGGCATAAATAAATTGGATGATGCATGCAAAAACCACGATATAGCATACTCAAGATACAGTAGACTCCCTCTTATCCGGACACCTTTTAACTGGACATCAGTTTAACTGGACTACACTCGGCGGAGATGACATCTATTTAACCGGACAATTTTTATCAGCACATTGGTTTAACTGAACTAAATCGGCAGGAAGTGGGCAGTACTGAAACGACTGTTCTCGTGGGAAAGATTTGAGACCAGGGATCACGTGTCTAAATACAATGCTCTCATAAATTCAAGTCGAATATTACAGTAAACAGACCGTTTTGACGAGTTTTTGGGGACGTCGGTTTAACCGGAAAAGCTGTTATCCGGACTGGCCTCGGTCCCAAGGAGTGCGGATAAGAGGGAGTCTATTGTATATACTCTCTTCTTGTATACAGACACAGATAGTCTTGTACATGGATACAGACGGGATAGTCTTGTAAATGGATACAGACGGCTTTTTGTTAGTAAAAAAATCAGATCCATCAAAACCAAGATCCGGATTTTTTTTTATCCGATCGGGCGCCGGTTCTAGCTCGGATCCGGCAGATCCGGTAGTCCGATATCCGGATCCGACCATCACTACTTATGATACTGTAGTGCTCATTGACTATTAAAGATGTAAACTAAATGTTTTAAACAGAAATAAAGTTAAATATAAACTATTTTCTGTATTTAGTTAAGCCTACTATAATTTCTACCACTTACTCTATTGCCATTGTTTAAAAAATCAGTACCTTTGTGGAAAGTCCTCATATTCAAAATTAAAAAATAAGTTAAGCATGGTAATATTATTATTCTACACACATATCAGTATTAGGAGCATCTGCTAGGGAACGGTAAATAGCCAAGGGAATATAAAAAAAAATCAAGTTCCAGTAAATCACATACATTTGGCAATATCTCATTGATCACAGCCTCAGAATACAGAGTATGTCAAACTTTCAAGTGTTTTACCATCTTAAATATTCTACAATCAATTTATAGGTTTTCATAACATATTATTAGCACTGAAATATTGAGTTTCTTTAAGTCAATTGCTTCACTGAGCAGATGTAACAGGTACAGTCGCAGATCACGGCGGTCTGGCAGTTTGTCGCAGCCAAGCAGTCGCAAGGTGTCACTACCAGCAGAACAGAGTCCGTCGGCTACCTCGGCCACAACCATCATACATGACGATGACCTTGACCTGCCTCAGTCATGCAATCATGTGTCCTAGACGACAGGTAAATAACCTTGCAAACAGCTGGTCATGCTGCGCAGAACTCTACCACTGAGCTGTTGTTGTGGATTATTCATTGTTTTTTATGTTAATTTTCATTAACGTTTCTCATATTTTCAACATGAAAGTCCAATTTCTCTTAAAAAAGATTTTTGTTCCACATACACCAATGGTTTGGTAAAAGGAGTAGAATGCCTGATCGGAGGTAAAACTCTAAAAGAGTCATCCCTTATCCTGCCAACTTACATTTGAGCTGTCCACCGAGTATTTTAGGCGAGATCATGTCCTTTAAGTTCTACTACAGACAATCAATACATGAGTTGTTCAGACTCGAATGAGATAGGATTGAACCCCTTGATCTTTAGTGCTTAATCTTAGCTTAGCAATTGATCTGATCTTACCGTTTTCTGTTTTCCATGCTAACCACCGTGGTAAATGCGAAATCACAACCCTAGTGTAGAACTTACTTTGTTTCCCCAGTGTTCAACAATTGTTGACAATCGTGTTAACGCTTCCTTACTACTTCCTGGAGTGGCCACTGGTACCGAGGTACTTGGCCTCGCCCACGCACTGCCTCGAGGTGTCTCTTGAGCACCCTTTTCATTCCTTCCCAATCTTCTAATGTCTCTTTGGACTTGATCCCTCCATCTTAGCTTATGCTTCGCATGTTAAAGCTTATTGTAGTTAATTTAATTTCTTTCTTTTTACTCATAAAGGATTGTTAGCTTTGAAAGTTAACTTGTTTAAATGTATAAATTTGCAGGCTGAAGACTGATGGGACTTCTTGCGACCAGTGTCTGGTGCTGAGACATCTCCTGTTCCGATGTCAAAACAACACGGTGTCTGCATTGCGACACATGTTGATGTTGTATTTGCATCGAGACGTCTTAAGGTATTTGAGACAAGGATTCGTAGCGATGCAACCCAGCATCATTGAGACATTACGATGTCTGGCGTCGGAATTACGACGCCCACCATACATTGCTCATCTATATTTTAGGATATAAAGATATCATCTGTAATTCTGTGATCTGTGTGCTATTAGCTATCGTTAGAACTTGCTCAATTCATTCTTCCATTTCTGAGCCACTCTGATTGGTGACGATTGAGCTATAGTCCTCGCCACCCTAAGTTGAGGCAACCAAAGGCCGCACTAGATATACGCCGTGCGGCCTTGGGCTGCCTCAACTTAGGGTGGCGAGGACTATAAGAGGCGGTTCACGAGTACGGGGTTTCGTGGCCCGCGGTTATCGTTGATCTCGACCAATTTTAACCGACGGTCAAAAAATGGGTTCACGACATAGAGCGTTAGCCGAGATCAAGCTTAGCTGAGACCAACGCTGGCCGTCGATCAAGAGCAGGGATTAACTGGGAATTTTCGTTGGGAGGTTGGCAACAGCCACCTGCTGCGCCGCTGCTCGCGGTCGACGAGCCCCAAAACAAGAGGATGACATTGCGTCATAATGATTGGTTCATAAATTATTATAATTAAACAGAGTATTTACTGATATCGTATAAAAGGTTGTGGACTTGCACTTGAATTCATTATAGACTTAAGTTTAAGGTTACTCAATTTATCATTGAATTATGAATAATACACTTTTACTGAATACATTGAATCGGGAAAATGCAATTATGATTTTAAAAAGTTTATACAAATCTTGGTAATGTTTGCAATAAAATTCGATTACCAATTATGTTCAAAAATAAGACATACTTTATCAGGTTTGCAGTTGTATCCAAACGTTCAAATTATTTAATAAAATGACTGCTCTTTTCAAATATTTATGAATATCTTTTATGTATCAGTAATTTGTATAAAAAATAAATTTCTAGCAACAACTGGCTATTATAGGAGCAGAGATGCCTTCATACGTATACAGTAATAAACGTAAATATATAATGGCAAACCTACAATAACATTTTATGACACCAAGATCTTTTAAATCGGTTCACAATTGGGGCTACAAACAGCACAGGCCTAAGAACTAAGCCCCTAAGAACATTTGCGCGTGCCAGACGGGCAGAGCGCAGCCCTAAGCATGAGAAAACAGGTTATAATTGAAAAAAATATTTTGTTGTAATACAACGTTTTGTATATTTAACTATATAATTTATCTTTTACCTCAGCAAATTGAAGCAATTTATTGTAAATCCCGATATGACAAATATTAAGACATTATCAGATGAAAAGGTCTTTCTTTAACAAATCTTAAATCATAAACATAATAATATAAACATATAATTTAAAACATACGAAATAAAATTTGGATACTTAAATAAAATGACCTATGTTTTATATGAATTTTATGGGGGAACAAAAATTGAACTAATTTTATACAATAAAAAATCTTAGACAAACCCAAAATTTTTTGATGGAACCATTTTTATTTTGATATTATTCAGCTGAAATAAAAGGATTCAAAATTGCTAAAATAAATATAAAGAATTTACAAAATAAGATTCGATTGCAATTTAAATTTATATGAATATGTTAAGCTATTAGTTATATTTTTACTTAGTAATAATTAATCAAAATGCCTCAACAGTTACTTTTTACGATGTTTTGCATGTTTTCGGCTATCAGTAGTAAAAAAATTAATGAAATTGTTCGGAATTTAATGCCGAATCCGAATATAACATTCTTTTTGCCAACAAAAAAACAATAAACGAGCAAATGAGATAATCCCGACATGATGTCACCTTAACCCTGCCCCCTAGCAGGGTTAAGTTGAAGACCAAAACCATTGTTATTTACGCTCGAGATTATCCAGTTTGCGCTAGACTATGACTCGTGAACCCGACATTTGGCCCGGGGTTTTCTCTAATTGAACCCGTGAAGCTGACTTTTTGCGCTCGGGTTTATCCCTGTCATAATTGGGTGAAGTTTATCTGTCTGCGCTCGAGCGCGGGTAACCTCGTACTCGTGAAGCCGATTTCCAAGCCGCGGCGCAAAAAACCGGCTATAACTGGATTTTGCGCTCGAACTAAGGATAACCCGTGACTCGTGAACCGCCTCTAAGAATTGCTGATTTGACAGTTTGTACAGTCTATTATGTGAGCAGAGTACAGTTTTCAATTATGTTGGTCACACACTCCAGTGTGTTGTGTTTGGTTGTGTTTGTGACACTCTCTTTGTTGGTGGAGAAAGAGATAGGAGTTACTTGTGTTTACGTTATCAGTTTAAAACCAAAATTTCCAAAATGAACCTTTTTTATTTTTTTGACAAAATATATTTTAAAGATTTTGACCCCCAAAAACCAGCTTAGTAAAAATATTGATGAAACATAAAGTAAGAATCAAGTGAAATATTTATAATTTTTGCTTTCTATGGTTTGTTTATATTGTTTATAACTTTGGAGAAAACTTATAAACTCACCCAATCTTCATCCAACCGAAACCTAAGTTAACTGGGGTGCTTGCCAACCACCGAAGAAACAAAAAAATCAATAATGCCTCTTACAATGATAGGAATAGGAATTATGTGGGGGACAAAACCACTGCAAAAGTTCACTTTGTTCTTTGGGCATGTTTTGAAGACCTTCCCTACATCTTCCCACTTGACCACAGGGGTTTCAGGGAGGGGCAGATAAATGTAATATATATCCATGTAGATAGACAAATCCATTAACCACTGAATATCCTAAAACTTAAGCCTGGCTATCTGGAACGGTCCCTCCCAAATAATTTGGTTTATTGGGGGTTTAATAGATGCCAACTCCGGGGAGCGAGCTTGTGTAGATGTTAGAGCGCGGGACTTTGGTCCAAGAGGTCCCGGGTTCTTCAAATCCCGCCACGTCACCAATGGATTTTAGAAGGGATAATGCCGCAACCCCTAGGTCTAGCCTGAAGTAATGTGAAAAACAATTCCAGGCTCGTGCCTAGCGTCCTTGGACAAAAAAATATACCACCTCCATATAGTCTTGTCGATTGATATGTACTGTAACTTACAAAAATTCTTGTAAACCAAAAACCAGAGATTATTTTGGGAACATGTTTGTTCACCTTTGCTTAAAAATGCCTATTTTGCGTATTCAACAATTACATGACATGATTTTCTGTAAATCAACTTATCCTCCTTTGAGGTTTAAGGTATTCAAATATACTTTTGAAATCGTTTAGTGAATTCATCGCATTAGACCAATTTAAAAATGCAAATAGAGTAACAGGAAGAATTCTTAAATGGGGTTAAAGTACATACCCCCCACACCGTTTATTCCCAGGTTGGGGCTTCGACCATCTTCATCTTTTTCCATCAGTCTACAGAGTTCTTCCTCCACTGCTGTCTGCCATCTTAATTTTTTTCTGCACACACCTCTTTTCCTCCTCTGTCCACCTTTTTTCTAGGTCTTCTCCTCCTCACCACAGTCTCTTTCCCTCTTTTGCCATTGACTATAGGGATTCCCTCTTCATACATACTTATCTAGTCACCAAACTACAGCAGGGTGGTATGATGGGAAAGAAGAAGATGCACCAATGTTCATTGATTTTAAAAGAAGATCTGTATTCTTTGCAATCCTTAGACCAATTAAATAAATTTAGTTTACTTTTTAACAGGTTTTGAGCTCAAGGTAAACTTTGAAACATTTAGGTTTTGGCCCAGTTTTTAACGATCTTGGGTGGTTGACAAGTTTAAGTACAACTGTATTATGATGATTTATACAAGGTGTACTTATTGTTTTAACATTACTAAAATAGTATAATAACATAAGATTGTAAAGCTTGGCTCTGCTCAGTCTTCATATTAAAAACCATTTGCTCGAAGAATAATGAAACTGCTAACTTTTCCTGGAAAGCTTTAATATTAAAATGAAAATAAGACAATATAGTAAAGAAATTATATATTTTGTACGACTTTTAGTTGGTCATTAACATCACTATTTTGCTTAGATATAATTTTATAAATATAGAACCATAACTTGAGAATAGAATATTTATTAGCTAATATTTTGCGAGATTTGTGAGTTTTTACGCAGACTGTCCAATTTATCAATTAGAATTTTTTACTTATTGGATTGGTATTATTTCTTTTAAACGTTTTGTTAAGTCCAGTAATCTAAATGAGATTAAACTTAGGTTAGTTGTAAATAGAGCAATTTAAATATTGCTAACTTTTAGATAAATCTTCTTAGTTCTTTCAATCATAGTAGCGTTAATACTGGGAAGATTTTAAAAAGAACTTAAGGTAACCAACTGATTAAATTAATGGCCATTATTTTTGTACTTAGTAATTCTAGTTAGTTGTACATAGTAATTATTGTTGGCTGTTACCGATGTTGTGAATAGGGTAAAAATATGTAACAAGAAACCAGATAACTAATTGAATTTGTATTGAAATGTTGTAAATATGAGGGTTGTCTGTGTAAATTAACATCTCAAACAAGCAATTTCTTACAGCACCGCCTAGTCCTTTATTTCTTTCTTCAATATTTAATTTTTGTTTTTGTTTGTGTTAGTTTAATGTTAGGTGTGTGAATTAGGTTCCGGGATTAAATTTTTGTAGAATTTATACACGGTGATGGCTTAAGACTCTCAGAATTCACCATAATCCTAAATTCTAAATGGTCAAAACTTGTTGGAGACTATAATTTACAGACAACCTTCGTGTGTACAAAATTAATAATTTATGTATTACTAAAATACTATTGATCTCAAAGTAGTATTAGACTAAAGAAAATGCAGTATTTGTTAAAGACTGTTGGGAATATTACCTGTTTATGGGTTTTATTTCCTAAAAAAATAATTGTACTAATGATGTCATGTTTGTTAACAAATTTAAGGATTGCTGCTTAAAAGTCCTAAAAATTACTCCATTAAAAGGTGTTAAATCGTAAATAAGATACTCCATTTTTGATCATTTTTATGGATCAGCTAAATCCAGTTTTAACTTGTTTAGGTTTTAAGATATATGTTCAGTAACACTTAATGTATTCCCTTCGCTCAGTTAATTTTCTCCTTTATTTAAAGGTTATGGTTATCATATCATAATTGATTTAGCAGCTTAATTAATTTGTAAATTGTACTTATATCTCACACCCTCCTCTCCTTTTCAAAAAAATCCTTGCTAGAAATCATTTGGCTTTCCATTAAAATATAAAACTACTGAAAAACCTTGTTGTCTAAAACTTTCTCAAAATACTTGTTATTTGTAGATTTAAGGATGAGCACACTACTGCGTAGACAATTTATTTCATACTAGTAAACACGATGCTCGAAATCGAGCAATTGCAAAGAAGTAAATTAGTTATTTAAAAAAAAAGTCATAATAATGTCCGATGAGTTTAAAAGACTTTGAATTAAAAAATGAATAACAGCAATTACAGCAAATTCAGCTGATCAAAATGTAAACAATTATGTTCTTCATGAGGATAACATGGGGACTTTAACAGCCACTGGGGCAGAGCCCAAGGAACCTTTTCAAAAATGTAATGTCAGTTTGCAAATCTACGTGACACGCTCTTTCCAATGAGACGTCAATGGATAAAATCGGTTAAGAAATGTCGAAGGAGTTCAACTGACAAAGTTTCATGTAGCGTATTAATTATATAGATTAAAGCAGTAGCCAAAATTATGATTTAAAAAAGGTCAGTTATGTAATTAAGACAATGCGAAGAGTCCCTGTCAAATACAGTTTTGTTTCTTATTTGTCATCTTTTCAATCACATCAAATTGAAAGGGAAATTTGCTGTCAACGATAGCACTTTTTATGACTTAATCAACTATAATAGGACCAAAAAACTTAAATATAAATAAGGAACTACAATCTACAATTAATAGCAGTCCTTTTCCAGAGATCTCCTGAATGTTCACTTTGATTTAAACAAAGGGTGACACAGCTGATCCATATAAATGGTTACTTCAGTATTCAAAGTCATTGGTTGTGGTTTATCAGCCATCATAGCAACATATGTAAATACATTGATGATTACAATATGGAAGCTGTTAGTGTAGTAATAATTAGATAATCTCTGAGTAAGTGTTGAAGGGTACATTGTTACATTTATGAACAGATGTGATGTTAATGTTTTGTTTCAACTGAATGTACATTGTTGGTTGACAGCTGTTGCAGGGTGGGTTTTAATTTGTAACTTAAGATGTTTATTCAGAGTGACTTAGCTTTAACGAATAGTATTAGTTGCTGAAAAAAAATTGTAAAAAGTTTTGTTAGTCGTTAACTTTAGTTCCTGAAATGATTTGTTTTTTAAAGATTTGCTTTTAGCAACAATCTTGTGAAGTTTACTTAGTTAACTCGGCTAGTAATTTATGTAGTTACCATACTAACATGTGGTTTTAGGTATCAACAAACTTATTAAAAATATTTAATTTTAATAATCTATGTTGAATCTTGTTCTCCTTTGGGAAAACATCCCTGTTACTGAAATGGCGAAAATACTGGCCAGTCAACCATTATTTTTACCAGTTTATATTCAAAAGACCTAGACTCGACACTGTTTAGTTTTCTTTAACTATGGAAGCCTGCCTTAGAATTCAAATCTATTTTTTTCTCATTAGTTTTGTCCGTAGGGAAATTTAACTATGTGAATATACGGATGCATTGCACGACGTCCAAGTGCCACGATGTCCAATAATATTTATTCAGTGCCACGACGTCCAATAATATTTATTCAGTGCCACGACGTCCAAAACATAATTTTTGAGTTGTTGCACGACGTCCAATATAAATTATTTGACTGTTGCACGACGTCCAAGTGCCACGACGTCCAAAAGTACAGTAACTGCCAAAAATATAGTCTTTCTACAAGCTTTGGACGTTTTGGCACTTGGACGTCGTGCAACAGTCAAATATTGATTAGACGTCGTGGAACTGGCAGAGGCTTTGGACGTGGTGCAAATGATACTTTATTACAATTAAATAGTGCGCTGTTTCACGACGTCCAAAGCTTGTAGAAAGACTATATTTTTGGCAGTTACTGTACTCTTGGACGTCGTGCAAAAGTCAAATAATTTATATTGGACGTCGTGCAACAACTCAAAAATTATGTTTTGGACGTCGTGGCACTGAATAAATATTATTGGACGTCGTGCAACACTCCCGAATATACTTTATAAAACAGTTTTGATGCATTCGATTTTTTTCTTGGTATCTCTCAATAAGCTGTATCCCCAAAACCATATTCATCAATAATGTCATATATTAACATTTCAAATGTAAAAAAATTAAACACAGTATTTTGGTTAAATCTTAGGTAAACTGTAGCATAAACAATATTTCACTAGCCAATAACAACCCTTTGAGTTCCCTGGATTATTTGATTGTTCGGAAGTGGTGGTGGTGTAGTGCAGTGGGAACGGCTTCCCCACACTGCTTTTTCCAAATTCCTACACATCAGTTAGACCTGAGTTTTTGTTTGTTTTTTTTTCAAGATGGTGGTGAGCATTCCCTCACTGGAAAACTTACTACCATGCCACTGCTATTCAGTCAACACTTAAGAAGCAAGTTAAGCAAAAAATGGCCAAATACGGATTCGAGGTTTGTCTCACCAAAAATCCACACTTTGCCAATTTTCACCCGAACTGTACATTAGTGGGCCTCTCCCACCATGCTCGACCAAAGACAGTTGTCCTCATGAATTCCACTCCAGTTCTGATCAAGACAATTGAATTCTCAATCTACGGTCCTGCCTCGTCCAGAAAAATAATACTTTAGATTAGACCACTTAGAAAGTTGTTGTGGAATTTTGGCTATGTTAGTATTGCGTCGGATGTATTGGCGGTAGGGACTCAAAGGGTTAAGCTTAGATATTTACGAATTTATATAAAAGACTATAGTTGTCAATAATTGTTGACAGGCCTAAAATATCTGTCATTTGATGTGTAGCAGCCATTTAGATTGTAGTTATTTTGTCAAGCCCCACTGGATTAAAAACCTTTTACGGTTTTACGATGAAACAATCGTTCACAGAACTGAGGTTTAGTAAAAATAAGGATGGTTAACGTTACTAGGTCGCTGGTGCAATCCTGATAAAAGTCAGTAGCTTTTTGATGTTTAGAACCGGATAAAGCTGTATTTTATCATAGATTAAAGGAGTAGGCAACTACTCCTTTAATCTATGATTTTATCAATAATAGGCTTATCCAAAAAACCTGCTGTTCAAGCAAAGCTATACAAATACACAATACCACACTTACTCTTATGATCTTATTCAGGTTAAAATTTAAGTATGGCACAGTCTTTGTTAAGTGATGACAGCCTATTTAAAATTAGAGGGTTTGATTCAGTGGGGCTTGGGTTTCTGTGCCTATGATGTTTTAATGACTAGATATATCAAAGTTAAAGAGTAGTGTTATAACATTTTGTATCAGTTGGGAAAAATAAATGTCGTTGATGTGTTCTTTTATAAAAAAAATGTATTTTATTTTACTTTGTCCCCCAAGAGTGCTCATTGGTAATATTTTTGTACCCCTTGGAAATATTTTTAGGTAAAACATAAACACGGATTTTCTGGGTGTCTAAAAACATTATTGCATACAGCAGACTCCCTCTTATCCGGACATCGGTTTTACCGGACTAATACTCGGCGGAAATTACATCCCTTTAACAGGAAAATTTTTATCAGCGCATCGGTTTAACCGGATTAGATTGGCAGGAAGTGGGCGGTACTGAAACGACTGTTCTCGTGGGAAAGATTTGAGACCAGTGATCACGTGATAAACGGTCCGTTTTAACGAGTTTTTGGGGACGTCGGTTTAACCGAAATAACTGTTAACCGAACTGGCCTCGGTCGTGAGGAGTCCGGATAAGGGAGTCTACTGTACACAACTAATTGACTTCAAAATGATGACAAGGTTATATAACTTTTATTAGTTAGCCTTCATTCTGAAATTAAATTCACAAATTCTCAATACTATATAATCTCAAGTTCAATTGACTATTGTCACCTATATTTGTGGTTTTACCAAATTAACCTGACTGTTCTAATTTACAATTGTTATTTTCTCAAATACAATTAATTACTCAATTATAATAATTAATAACTTCTCAAATTACATTGGAACTATGCGACTCAAATGTGGAAAATGAGATCCAGTTTACCCAATCATCCTTCACAATATCAAACAAAATGTAAACTTCAAAAGATGTCTTGTTGATACAGTATTTTAGAAAATTTCTTTAACCAGCTTATTAAAACATTCACAGTCACACTCATAGAGATTGGTGGATTATAACATGTATTATCACACTCACTCACTAACATACATGTTTATGTTGTGTATGCAGGTAGGCCTACAGTAGTTGTTGGTTTTAATTTCATGTAAAATACATTATTATTATTATGGTTACTGTTTCAGTTGTTGTATTCCACTTTACAACAGCATACTCGATAAAAATGTCACGGCCACCTTATTTCCCTTGCAAAAAGTATTAAAATACTCGCTAAGACATGCATCAAGTGTAAAAAAATTGAAAAAAATCAATAAGTTTACTATTGTCAATATTTGGAAAACGACTTCTACTACTTCTTGGGAAATTAAGATTCCAAGTAGGTCTACATCGTAGATATTCCAAAGTTATCTAAAATGCAACACAATTAACAACATTAAAAAGGGTCTATAAAAACTGTTAATGCATTTTTAAGTTAGCCTCACTGTTATCTATACGCCAAAGATAACCTTAAACAATCAGCTGTTGTGCAGGTGTGGTACAGCGCGCCTGGCGGGCTGAAAGTGAGTCATCAGCGCCACTGTCATTGTTAATTTGGTCGGTTATTATTGAACAGTCGGCGTTTGTTAGGCTTCACACCGTCCTCGTTCTCTCACATCCAACGGTAAGCGCTGATTATTATCTTGAAATTAAAATACTATTATTGCTATGGCTGCATGATAAAACTGTTTGCGGGTAACCTTATTTTCCATTTTTTTATGATAATTTTTCACAGTGTTTCTTTGTTGTGTATAATATTAGTGATAGTTAATTTTTAGCTCGTTTTATGAAATACCGGTATGCAGCAGCGTCTATAGGCCTATAGTTTAAGAATGAAATACTTCGTAATTCATAATTTTACGAAGTAAACATCAATTAAATAAACGTGCCATGATCTACTATGTACCACTACTGCTTTAAACGGGAAGCACGATCAACTTAATTTTAGTTTCACTATCAAACTTAAAAGTTATATAATATGTTTTCTCATTAAAATAATGTTAGTAAAAGTAAATAGAGCTGTATATTCCTTATTTGTGTGAAGAGATTAATTATATAAGATAAAACAATTCTATAAAGAAACTTATATCGAATATTTCATTGGCGCAATTACACGCAATATTTTATGTGTAGGAATTTTTTTATCTTCATTCCCGTCATCACGGATTTTATAAAAATTCCTAATAAGAGTTTTATTATCCATGCCCTATGGTTCAGCTGAAAACAATTTCTAGTTGTTGTTTCTGTCGTAGACCGATAGACATATACATTGGTACGCTGTTGTTGAGACCTACCGTTTCAGTATTAAATTTATTGTCATTAAATAAAAAAATCTTCATTGTTTTTTTTTTTTTACATTTTACAAAAACACTACAATATTGAAACAATAAACCCGTAGTACAAAGACCTTTTGGGGAATTTCCTCACTTGAATCTAAAAAATCTAAAAATATTTTAATAAATTAAAACTATTTATAACCTATTTACAAAGAGAAACGGATGCTATATAGACGTAAAACATAACCTAGAATAAGAGAGCACGCACAACATCAGCTAACTCTAAAATACGGAATATAATACACGGAGGTGACAGGTATAAAATTTTACAATAATGAAGAGTTCTTTGCAGAAGCTTAGGTCAGTATAACAACAGAAAACATAATACGTTTTCTGTGGTAGGTATTTGATCGTAAGCCTTAAGTTTTGCTAAAATCGAATCGTTTATAGTTTTAACATCTTTGCTATATTGAAGCTGTCAAACGTGGATTTCGTGTTACGTTGTGTATTGACAGGCTGTATGGATATGAAATGCATGCCGATGTAATAATTACCGTACATAATTATTAATTATGGGTTAGTTATTGATTTTATTCGTTCTATTGACTTTGGAATTACATTTTTCTGAATAATAGCATATGAATTCACGCAAACATTGCAATAACAAATTAAAAATACTATATGTATGCATAAACTGTTTTGAGCTGTATTTAACCATTGTGTACGATTTTCATCATAAAGCATTTTAATTTCATTTTCTGCCTATTCCGGTGGCATTTTTACGTGAGGAATTAGAGGATGAAGAGCTTAAACTCTTTAGGCAAAGCGGTCCATCCCTATTTTGAAACCCAAGGGCATATCTTGTCTAGTGATCAGATAGCGGGTCTTTTGCCCTTGAGGTCAGGGTTCAAATCCATCCAGTCATTAATAGATTTTAGTTTTATGGTTATTATGCGGTCCTACAGTTCAGAGCCCTCTTGTAAATCTCAGTATCTAAAAATCAATACAATAATGAGTCTCTCCAAGGCCGCCTCTTAACTGACTTAGCTATCTTTGGATCGAAGAACTCTCTCTACTTAGCTAAAGTCAAAATAAAGCCGATTTTCAAACTTACAATAACCGCCATGGATTATCCAGACCTACATAAACCAATTGAACGCCTGTTGGTCAATTGCCGAACTACACAAACATGACAGAAACAGTTTACTATACGTGCACATAGGCGTTGTAAGGGGCCCACTACACATAGACATTGTAAGGGCCCCACTTCATATAGAAATTGTAAGGGCCCCCCACCTCAACACTCGAAGGTTAAATTGGATTTAAAATTCGTTTTTTGTTCCAGTCAGTTACCAATCTTCTATTTATTCGTTGACTGTATACTATGTTTAATCTATGGTAGGCCTACTATTGACCTTGCTTGAACTGATTTCCAGGATTGTTATTACCTGTTAGATAACCGTTCTGATTAGCTTTTATCAATCACAGCAATATCATTAGAATAACAATAATAGCTCAAGAGAGTTTTGATGAGTTTTATCGATATCAAGAGTTATTCATCAATGAATGACAGAGTTGAAAATATACCTTTCAATAACGACGTTGAGTTAGCGTGTATTGAAAAATAACAGTTGCAAATTAACAACCCTTTTACCAACTCGTTGATAGTATATTATAATAGTTCAATATTTGAAAGTTGAGGTTATGTTTGTTGACAACAATGCAGATAACCTCTAAATCTGTTGTTGAAACATATTATCGTGGTAATATATTTGAACCAAATTTAAACAGCATAACGCCAACAAGCCACACCAGGGTTCGTATATTAAATTGTAGATGAATGATGGACGACCGTTAAATGGATGCGGTGATGATTATATAGCTTATGAATGAAATAACTATGGCCATTAATGAAGCTCGACGATTAAGGCCAGCTGCGCAAAGTTGCTGACTTTTGTTAGTGGTCGAAATGCCAATGATAATTAGTGGAGCACAAACAGCTTTTCAATAACTGAATAAAGTAACATCTGATCCACAGAACCTAAAGAACTAAAAATCGTAATAAGAATCATGATCAGAGATCAGATCATGTATCGTAATGAACCAAAAGTGAAACATATAGACTATTACATTATTTAGTGTGCCATTGTTTATGTGTTTAAATGTTTGGAATGTTGTAGCTAGACCCAAGGCTAGGATGTACTGTTATTCTAGGTGCAGACCTAATGGTGTATTGCCCTAAATGTGTTTTCATTGTAGTTGCTGAAGGCTGTTATTGTTGCTTTAGCAGCACAGATTTCAACGATATATTTTAGTATTAGTTTGGACAAAGAATAAGACTTTTTTTTCTTGCTCTACCTCCAGTTGTCTTTATTCCCTACTCCTCTCTCGGGGCTAAAACTTCTAACCGGCCATTATAAAAATACAAAACTATAATAGTTAATAACTTAATTTTTACAAAGAAAGCATTCTTTGTCAATTGTTCTAGCACAACTGTGACAGAAGGTAGTATTCAAAGGCATACGCTACATTGAAATAATATAATTAAATCACAGTCGTTAAACTTAAAACTAAACAATATATCCTGGAGGAATTTATTCATAATATTTTAATAAAAGATTCACCAATAGTTACTATGTTTTCACCAAAGACTAAATATTCTGAACTTCTTCAAAAATGTATTGTTACATAAAATTCTATAGCAAATTATTCACGTATTTTTTACATACGCGACCTTTGTTATAAGACTATCCTGTAGTTAATTGAATGAAATTTGGGAGTTTACTAACTTTAAAAAAATATGCACTGATAAAACTTATAACTATCTAAGTTGACGGGGCTGTTTTAATCCTCGTCTACTATGTACAAGACGAAAGTGTATTATATTCAATCGTATGTCTGAATGAGATTAGCATAACAAAAGCATTCCTTGCTTTGAGTTCATTGTTGAACCAAATTTGCAGCATCGCATAGCTAAAGTGAAAAAAGAAAAGATTCTTCGGGACCAGATATGGCAGGAGATGTCGTTTTAGAATCCCAAACTCAAAGCCTAAGTTATTTAGTTTTTTCCAAGAACAACAAAATGTAAATTCGTACTTCTCAAATTGTGTAAAAAACAATTTAGGGGGAAACTTAAGATTCTATTTAGCTTTATTACTAGAATATTACGAATATTCGTACATTAATACATGGTAAACCCATTTACTAATTATTATAACTAGTGGTCGTCCAATAGTCGAAAACTCGACCAAAAATTTGTAATGTATAGAATCTCTATTTTCAAGATATTCCACGCTCTATTCCACACTGTAAATAAAATATGTGATTGGAATTTCTTCTATTTGTTTTGATTTTCTGTTTATATTTCGTTGTTATTTCGTCACCAGCATGGCAACCCATAAGATCCATGTTAATTTTTCAGAATTTTTAATTGATGCTATATATATTTTTTTATTTAGCCTATTTTAATTTATAAAGGGATTCTGAAAATCTACAGGATAATATCTTTCTACAGTATGCGTAGATTTTCCCTGCGACGCTCACGAGCCGAGAAAAGGGGTTTTAAAGAAACATGCTTGCCTATTAATATATTGATTTACTAAATCTTACTTAATAGTGCAAAATTACAGTACTTAGGGCTTGCTACGTATTGTAAGTATATACCGCGGTTTTACGCAACAGGGGTTCATAGGACATGCTACTTTCCCAGGATTTCTCATGATACACCACATCACAAACCTAGTCTACTAATCTACTAATAAATAAAAATAAAACAGGTCTCAGTGGGAGCGATCTTTGATTTGTGTTTTTCCATTCCGTATCGTTTTACAACTAGACTATTGAGGTTAATAAGTCTTAATCACGAATAATTCAAGAGAGTTGTGTTCTGCACGGGCCAGAAAACATGAACTTTTAGATTAATACACTCATTAATCTATGAAAAACCACTACTTGCATACGATTCTTCATTGTTTTAAGGATGTAAATAGGTCACATTTACTTTTACAAGACATATAACTTTTATACTATCCTTTATTGAAATTCAAAGACCTTGAATAATCCTTATATATAATACGTGAAGGCGATTTCTTGAAAACACTACTCCTCCGTTAATAATGGACGGATTTTTACAAACGACGTGTCAAAATAAAGTATTTTTTGTGTAGACGCCCCCTTTCACCAATTCATGTAATAAAAATCCTCGAGCTTTGCCCCACAGGCCATCAAAGTTGGATTTTCTCAGATAAGATTAACATGGGGGAATTTAAATATTTAATTGGAAACTTTGTCCCCACTAATTTGAGAGAACGGCTGGGCGTAGAAACTTGGTAGAGGTGTCCAAAGAAAG